AGCAGGAAGAGTGTTCATTTATTAAAACCTGAAACTCTTTAAAATGTGCAGCAATTTTTTGCCAATGTGCTATTGCTTTCATTTGACTACTGCTACACAGCATTCAGTCTCATCAGACCTTATATTTTCAATACCTACCATGTAGGTATGGATCTTGTGTAGTTGTAAGTAGGTTTGTATTTCTGAAATTGTAGAAAGCAGGCTTACTGGTGTTTATTTAGCATTTGCAGGAGCACTTGTCAAGTCCTTAGAAACAAAAGAAGCCCTGTTCCTCTTCTCTCCCTTTATGTATAGGCAAGGATGGACAGCTTGGTAAATCAGTCTACAATGCCTTGGAAATTCGCAGTGGAGACTTTGTTTTAATATATGAGTGGGTTCTGCACTGGCAAAAAAAGATGGGAAGATTTCTTACAACACATGAAATAGAAAAGATTGAGAAGTGTAAGAAACAGGTAATGCCCATATTTTGCATTTGGCTTAATAAAAGTTAGGTGGGGTTCAGTGCTTTTCTTGAGGCTGCTAGTTTATACTAAACTTGAGAGGGTGGTGATGAGCTTGAAAATGCTAGTGTTTAGAGTATCTAGACCACAGAAGAAGATGGGTGTATTGGGGTATTCAAGAGTTCATTTACAATAATATAGATGCAAGGAAATGTGTTTGCAAGTATACATAAATAAAACAATAAAATATTAAAATTCTGAAGAAAGAGGGAATCAAGCTTACCTGGCAGAAACCAAAGTTGTTCTTGCCCCTTGTGTGCAATACTTCCTTTTCAGAAAAAGATGAGAATGTCATATATTTTACATGTATTTTGTATATGTTACATATTTTAGTAGTGGTGTGTTCATGAGATATGACAAAATGCGTGTTATGTTGTGTTTCTCTAACAGCTTCAGGGTGCAGAAGCAGAGTTCAGCTCACTGACAAAGCTAAGTCACCCAAACATAGTACATTATAAATGTATGAACCTGAAAGAACGGGACGATTCAATTGTGGTGGACATTTTAGTGGAACACATAAGTGGTTGCAGCCTTTCTACATATTTACACAAAGAGACTCCGGTTCCAGTTGAGCAGTTGCGCCATTATGTGACCCAGATCTTGTCAGCTCTCGACTACTTGCACAATAATTCAGTTGTGCACAAAGTTCTTTGTGCTTCCAGTATCCTGGTAGATGCTGAAGGAAACATCAAGGTGACAGACTACAGCATTTCCAAGCGCTTAGCTGATATCTGCAAAGCAGATGTTTTTGAGCAAACCAAAGTTCGTTTTAGTGAGGATGGTCTTCCCAGCAAACCTGGGAAAAAAGGAGATGTATGGAGTCTGGGCTTGCTTCTGCTTTCACTCAGCCAGGGCCACGTAACCAAGGAGTATCCAGTTGCTGTTCCTACCAATTTACCTGCTGACTTCCAAGACTTTCTGGAAAAGTATGTTTGTTGCGTTGCGTATCTTTTTGTCTTTGATTTTTTTTTTTTTTAAAGACTTGAACAGTTTTTTGAAAGAACAGCTAAATCCCCCTGTGTCAGTAGTTACAGTTTTTAGAGAAGAGGTGATTGCTCCCTCATGGCTCAGGCCGCTAATCTGGGATTCGGGAGAACAGGTCTGGTGCTCTCTTCTTCTCTGCCCTGCCACCAACTTTGTGTGTCACTGTGGATGAGTCATTTAGTCTGTCTTTGCTTCTGATTTCGATCTGAATGATAAAGGTGATAATTTCTTAAATATAAGGAGACCTCTTTGAACATTTAGGCCTGATATGGAATAGATCTTTGAACAGTTCTCTTCTTGGTTCGCCAATAGATGTGTTTGCTTGGAAGATAAGGAAAGATGGACTCCTCAGCAGTTGTTACAACATAGTTTTATAAACATTCCACGTATGAAAATGCCTGTAGCTGAAGAAAATCTAGATGGTAAGAAACTTTTGTTCTTTCAGTATTCTGCTAAATAAGTAGACTACGTGACTGCGGTAACAGAAAAATTGAGCTGTGCTAGACCTTCACAAGACTGCACAAGTGTGTTACATTAACTAACCTAAAAGCTAGTATGATCTTTAACTTCTATATCCGTGACTAGCTGGCATGGACTGACTGCTGTTGTCTCATCAGTAGAAGAAGCCGATGCTTTAATTAAACCTGTAAATTCATCGACCTCCTGCGTGGTGTAAATGTCAGACTTAACTTTATCCTTGGAAGATGCTGTTCCAATGAGACTTCTTCCCTCATTATGTTCTTCTTGTTAGAATCAGTTCCTTTGTCCAGCATAATTAATGTTAGTAATTAAAAACTGTATTAAGGTTTATGCTTGTACCAGAGCTTAACTCTACACAGCAGAGCACTTCTGTATTTCAGGTTTTAGTTGCACTTGAAGTTATTTAGGTTTTATCTTCTTCCTGATGCTTATTTGACAGTCCCTTGTGCCTTATCGCCATACCCGCATACTGCCAGTGGTGGTAACTTTGATATCCTCGTTGCAGATTCGGCAGGCATAGATTGCGTGGAGACAGTTGTACCCAGCAGTCAGATATCCAGTGCTTCATTCTTCACGGAAACACAGAGACAATTTTCACGCTACTACAATGAGTTCGAAGAGCTAAAATTACTTGGCAAAGGGGCTTTTGGGGCAGTCATCAAGGTATGGTATAAAAATTATTTCCCTCTATGGAATCCTTTTTGGGGATGTGTTTGTTTTCTCTGAAGCAAAACAATAGATTCAATGTTTGCATGGTTTTACTTATTATATTCTAGCGTGCTGTCCCTGTGTTGTGGTTTTTATCTGGAATTGAATAGGCTGAAAAGTTTTGCGAGAGGTTGCTGGGAATCTGGGGAGAAGCCTGTCAGTATGGGGAAGCTTGCATTTGAATTGTATTCATTTCCCAGGCGGAAGGAAAGCTTCCTCTTCCATGAAATTGCTCTACTTGGTAAGGCATTTATAAGCATTTGACTTCAGATTTGTTTGAATTTTGCAGGTGAGAAATAAGCTTGATGGTTGCTATTATGCTGTGAAACGTATCCGCGTAAACCCTGCCAGCAAGCAATTTCGGAGGATTAAGGGGGAAGTAACATTACTTTCCCGCTTGAACCATGAGAATATTGTGAGATATTACAATGCTTGGATAGAAAAACATGAAAGTCCTGTTCCCACTGTGTCATCATCTGAAACAAGCGAAGAGAAAAGAATGCCCACCAAATCTGGTCTCTTCATCCTTACCACTGAGGAGACAAATGACGTGGAAGCTAATGCTCCTCCTCCGGTTTTGACAAGTTCAGTTGAGTGGAGTACTTCGTGTGAAAGATCCTCCAGCAACAAATTCAGTGGAGCTGATCAGGAGTCAAGTGATGATGATGATGACGGTGATGGGGTGTTCTCGCATTCATTTCTGTAAGTAGGCTTCAGTGTTGGCACTACAGGGAACACGAGCAGAGTTGGTTTTTCCAAATTTGTGTCTTTTATCAATCTCACTTTTTTTGTCAGAGGTAGTTCACTGCATTTTTGTGCTGTCCCCTGGCTCAAAACCAGTGTATTTGCCAGCAGTCAGATAGCCAGGGGAGAGGAAAATTTGTAGCTAAAAACTGTCAGTGTATGAGGAAAATTTTGGTTTAGGCTTCTAGAAGTTTCTTATAATTTGTGTCAGAATGCATGACTGTTTACTTTACGTTGGACTGTCTTTTCCAACCTTGAGAATAAAGTTTTTAATAAACAATAACAGAGAAAGATTACAAATCCTGAAAAATACTTTACTTGTCCTTTCTTTTTTGTTTTGATTTTTATTAACATATTCCATACCTGCCTCTGTGTATGGAGTGGTTCTTTCACTCATTGTGGTTTTTTTGTTTAAGCAAGTAAGTAAACTTATCTCAGTTTTGCTTATTGAATATAGAAATTAAATTTTACTGATGCAAATATATACCTTCCCTTTAAGAGACTGGGCTGTCAAAGGAAGTGTTGCTTTGCAAGCAGGATACTTTTTGGGGGTTTGTTTTGTTTTGCTTTTTTGTTTAAGGCATATGGAAGGTCTTCAACAGAAGCTTAGATTCTCTTTTTTTCTGCAGTTTCCAGATTTCTTAGTAAATACTTCTTGGTACCCAAAACTTTTGGGTTTTTTTCTTTCTCTTTTTTAAACAGGCCAACCACAGATTCTGAAAGCGAAATAATTTTTGATAACGAGGATGAAAACAGTAAAGGTCATCCTCCAGTAAGTATAAAGATAAAGCTAGTGAAAATGAAAAGATCATAAAATAGTCTTTGACAAGCAAACAGGTCAGTTGGGAAGTTTTGTTTCACTTCCGGTGTAAGTACAGAACCAGATGAGGTTATGTTCCGTCAGAGTAAATGTTGTGCCATCATGAGCTGCATTCCATAGAAATCAATCTGACGCAGCTAATCTGGATTCTGTTTCCCATAGTTTCATTGAGCTAAATGTGAGTTGCACTTTATAGGTATGAGCCTGGTTACTGCAAGTTTAACACTTCAGTATGTACATGATGTATCAGTTAACCATATGGATTGCCTTACATCATCTCAAAGTTGAAATTCTGTTCTGCTTTTAGATAATACAAACCAATATATTTGCTCATACTAGCCACATTTTGAAAGTGGTGCCAATACATATTGCTAGTAGTCAAAAAGAAACGGGAAGTCAGAATAATGTGTAAGGTTTTAGTTGATTTTAAGATTTTGTATCACAGCACTTGCTGTGAACAGTCAGTGCACTGTCTCACTAGAAAGCTAATGCACAGTTTTCTACAGCATCTAAAACCTGTCATTGCCAATCCTGATGATCTGTAAAATGCTCTTATTAAAGCTTCATCTCCTTCCTCTTTGTGTTGTAATGTACATTGGCATGAAAAAGCTTTCAATATATAATTTAATAATAAGGCAGTGCATTTTTTGTCACAGTATCTATATATACACTATATCAAAATTTTTGGTTGGGGACAGGGGTTACATTATTACTTCTATTAAGTAAGCTTTGTATATTTCAGTTTCAAAAAAATATTCTTTTTTTTTTTTTTCAATGTGACACACTTTGAGATTTAGTTTTCATCCAGATCTTCTGGAATGTTTTTCCTCCAGTGTCTAATGATAGTAAAATGTTAATTTGTTCTTACTTTGAAAATGAGAGTTGGGTCACACCAGTTTTTTCTAGCTTATTTAGAAGCAGTGGCATTAAAATGTCAATATATTATTTTGCTGTTATTCAAACCCAGCCATAGAAGATGAGTTCTCATCAATGTGTTCCAGCCATTAAAAAATAGTAGTATGCATAAAAAACTTTGGACAGCTTCCAGTAGCTAACTGTTCTGTTACTTCTACTGTGATAAAGGATGAAGAAGGCAATGAAAAGAATAGCCATGGAGGAGAAGACCGGACAGCAGTCATTCAGACAGTGCATTACCTGTACATTCAGGTACAAACGTGCTTGCATTTTCAGATAAAAGGATACTGTTTATTCCACCCGGCAGAGATTAATTGCAGGTTTTCATGAGAAAAGTAATGACCTTTTAAAAAATGCAAATGAGACTAAGTTCAATGTTGTTTTTGCAATAGGCTGGTTATCTGAAAGGCTTGGCTGGTGGAAGGCACTGTGCAGCGCACATGGCTTGTTATGCCTTCCGAGGCTCTATAGTTGTGCCTGGAGAGAGCAAAGTTTTGTAGTGCCATAGTGTGTGACGGGATCACTGTTGTTGCTTATGTACAAGTAACACTTGGCTACTCCTGACCTAACCTTAGAACAACCCAACCAACCTTTTTGAGTCCGTGGCTTCCAAAGCATTGTTTTGCCTTGTGCTTGTTATTTGTTTAGAATATCCATCCCCTTACACTGTAGCCGGTGTTCCTGAGTTTGGTTATGATGTTAATTCCCAGCATGGAGTTGAAGTGTACTGTGTTAACTTCCAGAGGGGAAGTTGTATTTCACAGATATGAAAAGTTGCTCATTCTCTTCAAAGGCACTGTGTTGTGCATGCACTTTCTTTTAACAGAAAACAGTAATCTGCAAAGCCATTGTATGGCCCTAACGGTAGGCACAAAATAAAACTCCTGCAGGTTTGCAACTTCAGGTTTTACTACTGACATCATCTCCTTTGTGTTAGGAGTTAGACTGTTTCTGGGCGAAGTCAGCTTATCATAGCTAACTGTCCTGTGGTGATGTGCAGTCTTTTATAACACAATGCTAGAGCTTGTCTGGAAGGAAGATACAATTAGATGGAATTAGATTTTAATAAGCTTGTTTGCATGTGTTATGTATATTCATAATATAAGCAGTTAAGACGCCAAGTAAAATAAAGCCAGAGATTCTTTAAAGTTTGGCTTAAACATACACTATGGCTTTGCTGGTTTCGCCTTGTTTTGAACATTTATGTTAGAGAATATACTACTCTACAAGCTCGTACCGTTGTCCCAGAAAATGGGATAGGACCCATAAGTGAATACATGTTTTCTAGGTAGAAGACAGCTTTCAGGAAAATTCCAAACGGCTGAATGTTTTGGTGATACTATTTGCTCCTGAACTGTGTGTTACAGAACCAGGCATTAACATGCACACAGATACAAGTTTCTGATGGTCTCTTTTCTTGATAAAACCACTCTTTCTTCCCTCTGTCCCTTACATATGCACAACTGAAGATGGAGTACTGTGAAAAAAGCACATTAAGGGATACTATTGACCAAGGATTATATGAAGACACCAGTCGGCTTTGGAGGCTTTTCCGAGAAATTTTGGATGGGTTAGCTTACATCCATGAAAAGGTTAGTAAATATGACAGTTATGACCTGTCCATAATATCTATTTTATGCCTCTTTCTGTATGGGTTTCTTCATATTCTATTCATTTTGGGGCGTTTATTAGCGAGGTTTTTTCCTTGCCCTTTCCATTATTAATCTGTCCTAGGGGTTTAGAATATTTTTTCATAAATTTGAATTTTATAATAAACCACTTCAGATTTTTCCCTTTATCACAAAAATTTGACCACCTTTAAAAACGTTTTGTTAGGTACCTGATAGCACTGAAGATTGTTTCTAGCTTCTGGGCTACAGATTATAGTCTTATTTCAAATTAATCATCAGTGACTTAATGCAGTAGATTTCCCACTGTAATAAAAGTATGTAATACGATTTTCCAGTGTATATTATAAAGAGAGTTTTATTTTGAATTGTGTTTACTGTTTAATATTCTGTGTTAATATTTTTTGTTCTCCTGCTGTAACAGGGAATGATCCACAGAGACTTGAAACCTGTGAACATTTTTTTGGATTCAGATGATCATGTCAAAATTGGTGATTTTGGTTTAGCTACAGACCATCCAGCAAGTGCAGTAAGTACAGCTGAAAGTGAATGAAAAAAACCTTGAATTTGGTGTTGTAATAACATGAAAGATGAAAATAAAACATAAAAACATAGTGCTCGTTGGACTTTACACTGTGAATGCCATAAACTTTTTTATTTTTAAGGTTCTAGAATTAATCCATGTACTGCCAACCAAAGTGGCAAGAAAAGCCAACAGAAGCATTTCAAGTCCCATTTACAATATGTCCATTTTCCTGATTTCAGGTGGTCTCTAAACAAGAAGAAAATCACTCGGATAGTTCTATGTCTGACCCATCAGGTTGGTTTACACAGTAGCTTGGTCTAAATGATTTTAAGCAAACACTTATATTCTGCAGTCTTGTATACTCTGTTAGAACTTCCATTCATCCTTTGAAAATAAAACCTTTTATACTGGGGGGGGAGAAACCAAGGACCAGCTTTTGGGTAGATACATTACATATAATCTGGCAGTTTTGACTGTTACCTAAAAATGAATTTGCTTCCGCTGCTAGCCTTCTGCTATAGATCAGTGCTTTTCTCATGGTGAGGTATATAGAGATCCTGTATATCTGTTCCATCTGCACTTCTGTTCTCTTGCCTGTACAGGACAATTTCAAGACTCAGGGATTTTTGTTTGGTTGGGGTTTTTTTGACATCTTCTGCAACAGGCTGAATTTTGTGTTTGAGAAAACAGTAGTACATTGTGTGTCTTGAGTGTAATGGAAGTGAAATTTAGTTGTATCATTTGTGTGCTGACCTACTATAATTCTGTAAAGCAATAGATTTGTTCAGCTACTATAGACAGACACAGATACTTGACATGTGAAGGTAAGAACTGTCTATTTTGCAAACTGTTCTTGACTGGGTCTCTCTCAATAAGGACTGCATTCCAATCTAGAAGAAATGAGGACAGAAGATGAGTGAGTGTTTTCTTGACTTTGATGCTGCATTCTCTCCCACTTTCTTGAAACTAGTACTCTCATCTTTTGCCGCATAGGTAATTTGACAGGGATGGTTGGCACCGCACTGTATGTCAGCCCAGAGGTCCAAGGAAGCACTAAGTCTACATACAATCAGGTATGATTAGAGTAGACTTAATAAAAAGGTAGCATGGAATCTAAGGTACCAGGTTTCCTGCTCAACAAAGGTAAATTCAAGGTGGAACAGGGTGTGGTGGGACTGCTGCGATAAGCAAGGGAATGAGAAATACTCCTTTGAGAGGAGACCAAGGGTAGAATGATGTGGGCAAGTCGTTTTTTCTGCCTGTGCTGTGACCATGACTAGATGCAAGCGACTTCAAGTTGAAAGCTGGTAATCATGGAGGACCTTTGTAAATGAACAGGATAGAAATCTTACAGTCTTTAGTTAAGGTAAAATGTCGTCATCAGAAGTATATATTGTTCTCTCGGATTCCTAGACTCTGAATTTGGGAGGTGGGAGTGCATTTTTTCATCAAAGAGGATCCTGTTTATATGCAGAGACGAGCTGAATTTCAGCGAAAATGTTTTCGAAGTGGGAGTACTTTACATCGTGGCAGTGCTGTGATGATAGAAGGCATTGAAGTCTAACAAATCTTAATGGATTGTGTCATTTAACAAAAAATAAATTAAACAAAAAAATAAACCCCAAACGCCACCAAAAAATCCACCTCTCTTTCCAGCTGTAATAGACTGTGAAATTTAACCAAAACATTATTTTTTCTCTGCTGTCATCTTCTGCAGAGAACTCACAGGTATTACATTTAAGTTTCCGTTTTTTTCTTCCTTAGAAAGTGGACCTCTTCAGTCTGGGTATAATTTTCTTTGAGATGTCTTACCATCCCATGAGTACTGCATCAGAAAGGATCTTTGTTCTTGGTCAGCTAAGACTGGTAAGTACACAGATATAAAAGATAATAATTCTGTGCATCAAATAGTATGTTAAGAGAAGTAAAAAAAAAGGATGCAAAACATAACAAAAATGTTTCCAGAGGGAGTGCTTAAAAAAAAAATGTTTATAAAATACATAATGAAAAGTGAAGAATAAAATTGGAGCAGGTACTGACATTCCCTTAACGCGCTGTGGATTCCCTAATGGTATTACCATCAGTCAGCGTTCTATCTGTGAAATTAATTTTTATAGTGCAAAATATTGGAGGTGTAAACATCAGATAAAGACATCGTGGCTTTAGTACACCTAGGTTTAGACCCGGTGAGTCTCTCTTAGGAGCCAGTTGGTATTTGTAGTTGGTAAATACTTGTGATTATGGGTTGTATCTTCATTGTACAAAGCATCATCAAAGCATTTCAGTGACATTCTTTTTCCTTATAGCTCTTCAGACTAAATTTGCCATGTGGTTTTTTCTGTTTGGGGTTTTTTTTTCCCATGGGCAATAAAAATGCTTAGTTTCTCTGTTTAAATATGTAGAACTTATAAATAAGACTAGCCTGAGTAAGCTGGACTGCCTGTTACAATTCAACTGTGGGTTTTGGTTTTGTTTTTGTTTTTATAGCCCACTATTGTATTTCCTAAAGACTTTGATGAAGTCAAGCATGCAAAGCAGGTAATTTTGAAGACATTTTAACTATTAGGTATTCCTTGTCAAGAATCGTTAATTATCATTTTTCCCACTTCATTTTAAATTAGTAATCTCTGCTAAGTTCCTATTATATAACATAAGAACAAAGTAAGGAAAAAAAAATCTCAAAAGAATATACTAAGTTGATACGGAAATATACGTACCCACAAAATTCCCTGAGCACAGTCATAAAGAAATGCAGAGTTCACTGGCCCCTTTTAAGCTCTGAGGGACAATTTTGACTTTTTAGGCTCAGACAAATGACAGCTATATTGTTTAATTCTTAACTTAAACTTTTGAAAGAAATCTGTGTCACAGAACAGAAAGAGGCGTGCAAGCTAAGCTGACTGCTCTGAGTATGAAAAGAGCTGCCAAGAGCTGTTCTGGATGCCTCCATGGCAGAGAAATGAAGTGATAAGGAGCAGTGTAATCTTTTCTGGACCATCTAAATAACTTTTTCCTTGTGCTAGTGGACTCTTCTGTTCACCATTAGCATTAGCTTTTTGTCTGTTATGCCTGTGAAACAGCAATCTGCCTGTTACTAATACCATAATAATGTTTCCATCTTGTACAGTTTACTGAAATATGCCAGGAAGATTCCCCCTTCTTTAATATCTGTAACTCTCAAATCTTTATTGTTATGCATATGATTCTGCTTTCTCTTAACTTTGTTGATAAAGAGATGCCAGAGCTAGCATAACATAGAACAACAAAGGATACTATGTATTTTGTCATCCCAGGAGGCACATTTCTAATAATTTTTGTGTTTTAGTAAATTTTATTCAGATAGTAACACAGTAAAAGATACTTAGAATTTAATAAGCAAAAAATACCCCAGAGATTCAGATCCTGCTTTTTTGTCTCCTATAGAGCCTCATAATTTTTTTATTAATGTAATGTGACTAAGAAGTTTGTTGTAAATACTGCTAATATATAAAATTTCTATTTTTATTTAATCTGTAGAGATCGGTTATTACATGGCTCCTGAACCACGATCCTGCAGCACGACCAACAGCTGTGGAGCTGTTAAAAAGTGAACGTCTTCCACCACCACAAATGGAAGAGTCTGAACTCCATGAAGTACTCCACCATACCTTAGCAAATGTGGATGGAAAGGCCTATCGGACTATGATGAGTCAGATATTTTCACAGCGTATATCTCCAGCTATAGACTATACCTATGACAGTGATATGCTGAAGGTTTGTAGGCGTTTAGGGGATGCGTGGGTTGGTTTTTTCCCTGTGTTGGATTTAAAAAATGTTTATACAGGTAAACTCTTAAGATGTTTGAGAGAATTGCATTATCTCTTAAGATTAACCTTCACATTCGTTCCCATTTAAAGCTACAATCTGTACTATGTGGGCTTGAATAACCACTTCCCGTTTGACCCTTACATTCATTCTTCAATGGGGAAAAGAGCAGTGTTTGATTGTAGCAGCTAAAGCTTTAAGCTTATGTCCAGATGGTTACTTTCTTTACTCTGAATTTCTGTCAAACTAATGGTACTTGCATCTGATTGCCAACAGAATGTGTTGCCTCTGACTGTTTTCTTCCCTTTCTAATCATGGCAATCAGAGTAATCCTCAGTTTCTCAAGTCTTGAATCTTTCTAAATCTAAAGAAATACAAGGTAACACAGTACAGTAATGCTTTGTATAGCTGTAGTTATTTTTTTTTATTATGTAAGCATTACAATTTATTATAGTGGGATGAGATAAGAGAATGCTTGTTACTTATATTACATGGAATGATTGCCTATATTACATGGAGTGTTCATGGCATATGAATTATATATGTACTTTTTATTTGTGATGGTTTCAGGGTAGTTTTTCTATTTGGGCAGCCAAGATACAGCAGCATGTATGTGAGACTGTCAGCCGGATATTTAAAAGACACGGTGGGTGTGTTTACAAAAGTCGTTCATTTCCTTTTTCATGATTGAATGGATTTAAGAGAATGGAATGGTTTTACTGCTATCGCATGAGTCAGAAAGTATGTTCAATAGTTGCATATCATCTGAAGTTTTACATTGTATTTTGCTGTTATTTTGGCATCCCAGTAATAGCTGTTAACTTCAAATCTGAATGATTTAAATTTTCTACAGAAAGAACAGTGAAAAATCTTAAATTACATCTTCAAATGTATTTGGTTGTTCTGATAAGTCTGTATGAGCTTTTAGAGATAGGGAGTGTTATGCAAAATCTAGATCCGAATTTAAGGATAGCTCTATAGTGAAAGACCAAGCATCCATGTAGCACAGTAACCTCTCTTTGAACATAGCCAGAATGGGAGTGGTCTAAGAAAGAGCGTGGAAACAGAGCAAGTGTATAGTGGTACTTTCAGTGATACTGCTCTTAGCAATGATTTGCTGTTCAGGAACTTCCTGAGCCATAGCTGGTGTTGTGGTGTTTAATAGTATTTGATGGTTTTTCTTTCCAGGACACTACCCAGTCATTAGTAATAGTATTTGCTTAAAATTATTTTTTAAGAGAAGAAGAAAATTTATGCACACATTGTCACATTTGAAATGTTATAAATTGTGTTGTTTTATAGGTGTTCATGATACTATTTCATATAAAAATAGAGAATTTTAAAATAGAAACTGGGAGATTTCCTAATATATCATGATCTGATTAAGCATGCTCAGGATTTGGCAATACGAAAGAATGAGAAACTGAGAAATGCGAAGTCAATTAAGGAGAAGTTACTCCCCTCATTTAAAGCTTGACAGATTTTGGAAAGTATTTATTAGCATTTTAGAGATTGAAATGTTCTCATTCTTTTGGAAAAAAACTGGAGGGTTTTGGATATATATTTTTTCCATTAGACTGTATCTGCTGTCTGTAATGGTTAGAAGCATTTCCTTGTATTTCGGGGCTTTTTTTTTCCCCCCCTGATTTAAATGTTTATGTTGAAATCTAATTGAAGACGTGAGTAAAGCTTCTATAATAAAATAGCTGTTTGACAATCAGTAGAGAATTTAAAACAGGAGAGTATTTTTCAGTGATTAGTGATCCTATTGTTAATAGTAAGGTTTCAATGAAGATTGGATTCATACAGATAGATGGTTGCAAAAGACAGCCAGAAAAAAACAGTATTTATGATGTTTTAAAGTGAACCATAAGCACTTCTAGTATGTGTTTGAGACACAGGATGCAACATGTCTGAACAATATTTGTTCTCTATGGAAATGCCTCTAGACCAAAACAGTACTAGAGTTTCTCATCTCTTTCATATGCATGCTTTTGTGAAAGGTGGTGTTTAAAGAGGGGAGGGCAAGGTGAGGATTCTGCTGGGGCTGTGGAATTGGCAGTTCTCCTCTGTTTCTCTGTGAGCTGCCTGCTGAGCCGAAGAAGTGTGCAAGATAGAACATCAAATTTTGTTTGATGGCTTTCTTTAAACGGTGGAAGAGGAAAGTCTATTAAGAACACTTAAAATAATGTAATTTTTAAAAGTTATTGGTTGAGATTATCATGCCCTGCAAGGTTGTTCATGAGCTTGTAAAGAGCAGATGTTACTTCTGAAATTGGAGAGAGTAGTATTTTACTGTTTTTCTGCAGGAGCCATCAAGCTGCATACTCCACTGCTAATGCCCAGAAATAAAAAACTATACGAACATAATGAAGCTTCATATTTCATGGATCACAGTGGGATGCTGGTAATGCTTCCTTATGACCTCAGAGTAAGTAGTATCATCTCTGCAGGCAAAGCTGGGTTTGAAGAGTTCTGTGGTGTTTGTAGATACCTTTGGTTCACTAGTCACAAATTTGGTTTAGGCTTACACTTCTTCTGACTGCTGTAGTGGTGCATCTTTCCGTGTCTGTTCCTATATTCCTTAATGCTGTACTCCTGGTCTTGACGGCTGGAGCCCTGACCACATAGGGAAGAAATAGACTTTTGTTTTCTTTTTTTTTCTTTTTTTCCTCTTTTTTTTTTTTTTTTTTTAAATGTAGGTGAAAATAATGCCATATTATAAATGTGATAGATGTCACTACTGTTCTGTTTTTTTTTTTCTTGCACATATAAGAGACAAGACTTTTCCAATGACCAGTGAAAATTCTAATATTCCCATCCCTTTCTTATTTATATGTCTTTGTAGAGAATGTGGGCAACAGTCTGTCCAGTTCTATGTTCCTCAAACAGATGTTGTGAGGGATCATTCTACTCATGAGAGGAATTGCTCTTTGCACAGTTCAAATTCTACTGTCTGGGATTCCTCTATCAGTAATACCCAATTATATGCAATGTTGGTCTAATTAATTACCTTGCACTTAATTTAACACCTAAATGCTTTAAGTTATATTTTTTATTTATTATTGACGGTTAAAGAACCTGACTTTTTATATTCCATTTCATTAATTTAAGGTCAGTTTGACTCACCCTTCCCTTGCATTTATAACATCAAGCTATACAATATGATTCATAGTTAAGGATTTGTGCAGGATCTACAAAATTGCTCTTTTTGTTGGAATTATTGTTTTGGAAAATGTGTTGACCAAAGATTTATTAAAAAGTAGTCTTTTGTATCTTTATGTAAACAGCAAAATACCTGCTTGTACATTTTAATATGCTTATAGTCGATTTATGATGCATTTTGCATGCATTAGGGTAATTAAGACATGTCCTTGTGTCCCTCTCCAAGCTCTTCTAGGAACTTGGCGTTTTTTATTTAAAACTTGCAGCAAGGATGATTAGATTAATATCACTTGGCTATGGCAAATATTTAAGGCATTGTTACACATGTGAGAGTACTCGTGTCACTGCACGGTAGTAATTAATCTCCGGTTTCAGAGCCTAGTCAGACTGAATGTTTTGTTTCAACAATTTTCATGTATTTTGTTTTTCAGATTCCTTTTGCAAGATTTGTAGCTAGAAATAACATATCAAACTTGAAAAGGTAAGGGACATAAGGATAACGTTTTGCACAGATGCCATGCTTTATGACAGTGACCACCGAAGATGCTGATTCGTTCTTCAATGTTTCCTTTAGATACTGTATAGAGCGAGTTTTCAGACCTCGGAAGTTAGACCGCTGTCATCCCAAAGAACTCCTAGAATGTGCATTTGACATCATTACATCTACTGGAAACAGCTTTTTGCCTATAGCAGAAACAATTTATGCCATTTCAGAAATCATTCAAGAGTTTTCAGTGCTACAGGTAGATTGTCTAATCATCCCCTTTGCTCTCTTCTCCATCCTAAAATTAATCTAAGTAAATATTTAGTCTAATGTGTTTAAAAAGGATAGTTCCTTTAACCTGAGCAAGTACAGAACTGTTTTCATGTTTTATCGATAGTCAGTTATAGAAGAACACTGTCATTTAAATCAAAAATATGTTTCGTAGGCAAACTTAAAATGAAGCATAGGTTTATGTGCAAAGGAAATATTAATTGAATCCTTACAGTGCCATTGAAATAACGTCTTTCTTCTGTCAGGCAAGTCCCATTGTAGAATGGGACAAGCCTTGCCATTCTTTAGTTGTAGATGGAAGGTGGAAGGAGAGGTCTGAAGTTAGTTTTGAACTACTATTAAATGTTTAGGAAACCTCTTTCTTTTTCTTTTTTTTTTTCTCCCCCCCCCAGCAAGATGGAATGCAAGTAAAACTTTTTTTTTTACTTTCTTTCTTCCTTTTTTTTTTAACCTTTGTTAGGAAAGAAATTATAGTATTTACTTGAACCACACTGCCTTACTGAAAGCTATACTTTTGCACTGTGGGATACCAGAGGACAAACTCAATCAAGTCTACATCATTCTGTATGATGCTGTGGTAAGATATTAGTTATTAATCTAATCTCTGTAATCATCACTGTAGAGTATCTTATTTTGTGGAGCTATCTCTAAAAATGAGTAACAGCCCATTGCCAGCATAACAAGGAATATCCTGCTGATATATAAAAAGGCTGGCTATCTTTGGGCTGTAAACTTAGATTAATTACTTTTCTGTTACTTCTGTATTGGGATGTTTTAAGATGATTTTTAAATGTGTATTTATGAGAGAATTATTCACCTGTATAATGAAGAACTGGTAGGCTATTCAATAAAAACTTTAAAATGTATCTTAATGTCATGTTGGTCTTTTCTACTTTATAAGCAGAGAAGATAGAGGAAATTAATTTGAATAATTAAAGTAGCATTTAAATCCCAACAAAATGCCTTTTTTATTTCCTTTCATTTAATTCTTTTTGTTGTTTATTAATTTATATAAGCATTTCATTATTTATGCAGAAGTGCTTTTCCACAAAGTTGGTATTTTTATAGTTTTTGTTGCTTTTTGAAACCAAGCCGAATATGGCCTCACTACAAGATTGGTGGAAAATGTGTTATGTATTCTTTTTGTTCTTTTACAGTATTATTGCAGTTTGTAAATGCAACCTTTAATTAAAGGTATTGGAAAGTTGTGGTTTAATTCTTCTCAGCAATAGTAATTTTTTTTTGGTAACTCAGTTGTTGAATACGTTTGAATCTGTTTCTCTTGTAGACTGAAAAGCTAACTAAAAGAGAGGTAGAAGCCAAATTCTGTAACCTTTCTCTCACATCAAATAGTGTAAGTAATTCTAATTCAGTGTTAATTTCCCTGTAACTTGCCATAAGTCAGTAATATTTTATTTACTTTGCAATTTAATCAACCAGAGTAAGAAAAATAAACTGTTACATCTGCTGTTCAAAATAGATCCGTCTCCTTGGAAGTGGTCTGATTTCATTCTCTATTCTCTCTGGAAGTCAGTATTGCAACTGTCCAAGTTTCTTTCTTCTTTTAAACATATTTTTCAGACTGTGGAAACAATTAAAGGGTAAATGGAATACTGTACAGTGGTATTTAGTAAAACAAACTGAGAGAAACTTAAAAAAAAAAAAAAAATTGCCTGCAAATGTTGATGAGTGTGCATAAAGAGTTGAGGTTAACTTCTGGACACCCTGATGAGACTTGTGCCTGTCCATTCTTTTCCTCAACTCACTAGGTAAAAACAGGCTGTTGGGCAAAACAAGCAAAAAAGGCAGATATTTTACTCACACCAAGTCAAATATTTTTCATTTTTTTAGATATGACCTATTATGAGCGCTGTCAGTGGTGCTACCTATGTTTTTTGTTTCATTTTTGTTCTTAGCTTTCTCGACTCTACAGATTCATTGAGCAGAAGGGAGAAGCAAGTAATGTATTTCCATTTTTAAACACAATGATAAAACAAAAGCCAGGTGTCACTCAGCTGTTGAAGCATGGCATGAAGGATTTAGAGGAAATCATTGGTCTGTTAAAGCAACTTGGAATAAAACTTCAGGTTTGTAAAATACTCTGCTAATAAATTAATGGGTTTATAGGCTGCTGGGCCTTGTAACTTGCCAGGAAACAAAGTAATGATATTTTAGAATAGAAAAAGCACATCAAAGTGTCTTTTGATGGCAGGTAATAATACTGGCTTTGGTTTTGTTTTGGTGTGTTTCGTTTTTGTTTTTCTTTTAAAAAGACACATTTTTAAGAATAAGATCTCTTCCAGTCAGAAGTCTTTGGCTTAATTTCTATCTAATGACACACAGACTCTTCCTGCCCTGCCCTGCCCCGCCCCCCGGGCCCC